ACTATTGGCTAAAATGACTTTAAGTAAGAGTCTATGTTACTCCATGCCAAGACTCAGAGAGAGAGAGAGAAAGTACAAAGCGGCACTGCATTTTGGGGCCCTTCAGTTTTAAGGATCTGAAAACATCTGAATAACCAAAGCTTGAAAGAGATTGCTAATAGAATGAAAGCTTCAGAATACAAGAGACAGATGCCTCAATACTCATTCAACTGTGCTTATAGTGTCCCTAAGGCAAGGACACTTAAGTAAGGAGGGGAAAAGAGCAAAGAAAAAAGAAAAAGACCGTACTACAAAAATATTTATAGCAATTCTTTTCGTGGTGGCAAAGAACTAGAAACTGAGGGAATGTCCATCAATTGGTGAATAACTGAACAAGTTAAGGTATATGAATGTGATGGAATACTATTGTGCTGTAAAATACAACAAAGAGGATTATTTCTGAAAAACTTGGAAAGAATTATATGAATTGATGCAAAGTGAAGACAGCAAAACCAGAAGAACAATTTCCACAGTAACAATATTGTAAAGAAAATCAACTGTGAAAAACTTAGTAACTTCAGTCAATTCTATGACTCATTAGAATTCCAAAGGACTCAAGATGAAAAACGTGATCCACCTCTAAAGAGAGAACTGATGGCTTCAGAGTGCAGATTGAAACATCATTTTTTTCTCTTCCTTCTTTTCAGAACATGGCTAATGTAGAAATGTTGTGCATGATTTCATATGTATAATAAGTATTGTATTTCTTGCCTTTTAAAGGGTGAGAGAGGGATAGAGGGAGGGAGATTTTGGAATTGAAAATAAAATTTAAAAAAAATTTTTAAATTACCTGGTGGTAGCAATAATAGGAGGAACTAGGTGACTAATTAAATTTTTAAAAATTCTAATGTGCCAACTTTATGCCAGGCATTTTGGCAATCAGGTAAAAATAAAAGACAATAGTCCTAGATCTCGAAGAGCTTATATTCTCTCAGGGTTGATGAGATATATATGCAAATAAATGATACAAACCAGAATTTGTTTCAGTGTATAGGAGCAGTGAAAGAGTAGCTTGGGAAGTTTGAGAAATGAAGGATCACTGTTTGGGGTGGGGAAAGAGTGTTGATAAAAGAAGTCTTAATGGGTTAAAAGAAGAAAAGAATTCTAACAGGTGGAAATATGGAATAAGTTCATTCCAGACAATGTAGATGGCTTTTGTGGAAATACAAAGAAGTGGGAGGCAAGATAAAACTGAACCAAATTTATAAAAATAAAAAACATTCCCCAGTTGATAAATGGTCAAAGGATATGAAAAGAAGGTTTTCAGAAGAAGGAATCAAAGTTATCCATAGTCATATGAAAAAATACTCTAAATCATTCTTGATTAGAGAAATGCAAATTAAAACAACTCTGAGGTATCACCTCACATCTATCAGATTGGCTAACATAACAGAAAAAGAAAAGGACAAATGTTGGAAGGGATGTGGAAAAATTGAAACACTAATGCACTACTGACAGAGTTGTGAACTGGTCCAACCATTCTTGAGAATAATTTGGAGCTGTGCCCAAAGGGTATTTATAAAACTGTGTATAACCTTTGACTCAGGAATACCATACCTGGTCTCAAGAGATCAAAGAAAGACAAAAGGATATAGATAAATATGTATGTGCATGTATACACACATATATATGTTTATAACAGCTCTTTTTGTGGTGGAAAAGAATTGGAAATGGAGGGGATGCCCATCAATTAGGTAACGGATGAAAAAGCTGTGGTATACGGTTGTGATGGAATACTATTTTGTAAGAATATAATGTAAGAAATGACGAGGGAGGTCTTTTCAGAAAAATCTGGGAAGACCAAATGAATTGATACAGAGTGAAGCGAACAGAGCCTGATTATTGTACATAATAACAGCAACATTGTAACAATGATCCACTGTGAAAAGCTTAGCCACTTTACTCAATACAGTGATGCAATATAATTCCAAAGAATGCAACCTTCAGAGAGTACTGATGAACCCCAAGTATGAATTAAAGTATAATTTTCTCGCTTTATTTTTCTTGCTTTTTTTTTGGTAATATGGCTAATATGGTATCACTCTTTAATCTAAATCATGTATCCATTTTGACCTCATCTTGGTATATGGTATGAAATACTGGTTGATGCCTAGTTTCCACCAAACCACTTTCCAGTTTTCCCAGCAATTTTTGTCAAACAGTGAGTTGTTTCCCCCAAAGCTTGGGTCTTATTAAAGACTAGATTGCAAAAAAACCAAACCAAACCAAAACAAACCAAAACAAAAGACTAGAACTGCAATATTCATTTCTTATTGTGAACTGTGTACCTCATCTATTCCACTGATCAACCATTCTATTTCATAATGAGAACTAGATTGTTTTGATGACTATCACTTTGTAACATAGTTTGAAATCTTGAACAGTTAGTCTGCCTTTCTTCACAATATTTTTCATTGATTTCCTTGATATTCTTGACCTTTTTTTTCTTCCAGATGAATTTTGTTATTATTTTTTCTACCTCTTTAATTCTTTGGTAGTTTGATTGGTATGGTACTGAATATGAAAATTAATTTAGGTAGAATTATCCTTTTTATTACATTGGCTTGGCCTACCCATGAGGAATTAATATTTCTCCAATAGTTCAGATTTGTCTTAATTTGTGTGAGAGGTATTTTGTAATTGTGTTCATATACAGTGCATTGGTGTCCCAATTTTTCCATATCCAACATTTGTCCTTTAATTTTTCTGTCATGTTAGCGAATCTGATAGGTGTTAGGTGGCACCTTGGTAGGCAGACTCCCAAGTATTTTATATCACCTGCAGTTAATTTAAATGGAATTTCTCTTACTATCTCTTCCTGCAGGGTTTTGTTGGTAATATATCGAATTGCTGATGTGCGTTTATTTTATATCCTGTAACTCTGCTAAAGTTGTTAGTTGTATCAACTAGTTTTCTTAGTAAATTCTCTAAGGTTTTCTAAGTGTACTATTATATTGCCTACAAAAGTGACAGATGTTTCCTCCCCTATTCTAATTCCTTCAATTACTTTTTCTTGTCTTATTACTATAGCTAGCATTTCTAGTATAGTAATAATAGTAGTGATAATGAACATCTATGCTTCACCCTGATTTTACTGATAAAGCTTCTAGTTTATACCCATTACAGTAAATGCTTGCTTTTGGTTTTAGAGAGACACTACTTATTATTTAAAGAAAAGCTTGATTCCTGTTCTTTCTAGTGTTTTTAAAAGGAATGGTTGTTGTATTTTGTCAAAAGTTTTCTCCATCTACTGAGATAATTTTTTTTGTTCTTGCTATTGATATAATCAATTATGCTTATGGTTTTCCTAATATTGACCGAGCTAAATGTCACCTAGACATAGTGCATGATCTTTGTGATATATTTCTATAATCTACTTTCTAGCATTTTATTTAAGAATTTTGTTTCTATATTCATTAGGGAAATTGCTCGATAATTTTTGTCCTCTGTTTCTGTTCTCCCTGGTTTAAGTATCAAGACCATATCTGTGTCATAGAAGGAATTTGGTAGGATTCTTTTACCTATTTTTTCAAATAATTTATATACTACTGGAATTAATCAATCTTTAAATATTAGACAGAATTCACTTGTAAATCCATCTGGTCTTGGGGATTTTTTCTTAGGGAGTTCATTTATGACTTGCTCAATTTCTTTTTCTAAGATAGAGTTATTTCAGTATTCCATTTCTTCTTCTATTAATCTGGGCATTTTATATTTTTGTAAATATTCATCCATTTCACTTAGATTGTCAGTTTTGTTGGCATATAATTGGGTAAAATAGCTCCTAATAATTGCTTTAATTTCATCTTCATTGGTGCTGCATTTACCCTTTTCATTTTTAAGACTGGCAATTTGGTTTTCGTTTCTTTTTTAAATCAAATTAACCAATAGTTTATCTATTTTATTGGTTTATCAAACTAGCTTCCCTAGTTTTTTAGTTCAATGTTTTGGGGTTTTTTTTAACTTTGAATTTTATTAATCTCTCCTTTGATTTTCAGGATTTCTATTTTGGTGTTTAATAGGAGATTCTTAATTTGTTCATTTTCTAGTTTTTTAAACTGCATGCCCAATTCATTGATCTCCTCTTTCTCTTTCATATTGATGTAAGTGTTTAGAGATATAAATTTTCTTTAAGTATTGCTTTGGCTGCATCCCACAAATTTTGGCATGTTGTTTCTGGAGACAGGAAGAGTAAGAAAAACCAAGAGTGACTGAAAGCAACAGTTGGAGAGATAGAAGGAAAACCAATAGAGTTATGTCACAGAAGTCAAAGGAGGAGAAAGAGGAAGGGATGTTCAACAGTGTCAAAAGTTGCAGAAAGGTTAAGTAGAATGAAAACTAAGGAGAGGCCACTATATTTGGTAATTAGGAGATTACAGCTCAGAGAGAATAGTTTTAGTAGGAAGATGAAAACTAACTATCATGGCTAATAAGAAGGCTGGCTTGATTCAAGAATGTGGAAAAGACAGGTCTTTTTAATATGGTAGTGTTTACATGAAAAGAATACTAATAGATGACATTTATAGTAGAGTCTTTTATAGCTACCCAACATGTTATGAATGTAACATGTAAACCGAGGTGCTGGGGAAACAGCGCTGAATTTGGAATCAAGAGAACCTCAGTCAAAATCCCAATTCTAGTACTTACTACCCAAGTGGCCTTCAACAATAATGTCCTTCTCAGGCTTTAGACTCCTCTTCTATAAAATGAGAGGGTTGGGCCAAATGGTCTTGTTCAAAATCTTAAAGGTCATTGTGAAAGAGCTAGTATTTGAACCAAGGTCTTCTGACTCCAGAACCAGTGTTCCCTCCATTAAACCACACTGTGATGCACAAAATCTGGTAAGCCAAAATAACTTTTAAAGTTTTAAATTCTTATTCCAAAGAAAATATAAATATATTTAAGAACTGAGTCTACAATATTTACCTTGGTCTTCATGATACTCCCTAAGTTCTTCTTACCTGAGGCTATTGAGGTCCAGGTCATCCGTATCAAAATCCAAAAGGGGCTGGGGAGTGTCACTTGGGCCATGAGACTGCAGCACAGAGGAACTCGATGATATAACTGTGGTTTGGCCAGAAGGGTGAATGGTTTTGAATTGGAACTGGGGACCCATCCACAGACGTCTGTGGGGTCCAGTGTGGGTCACAATTTCAACCTGGAACAAAACAGGCCTAGCATGATTAAAATATATCCTGGCACATTCCTTTCTGTTTGCCATTCATCAAACCACCTCCCACCTTTTACTAAAAGCCCATTTCCTCCAGGAAGCCCATCTTAATCAAATGGGAGTACAAGAAGGCACCTGCCACAGAAAGGTGATCCTGATTACAGTTTGAAGAGGCAGCCATACCACAACCCTCCTCTGGTCTTCACATAAATAAACAGACAAACAAATAATAACCCCACCCCAAAAAAATGCCAAAAAGGAACAGTTGCAGCCTACCTTTCACTCTCCCTAAGGGCTATGTCTTTCCCACATTCCATATAGTACTTACCATTCTGAGGGCATGCAATGAATCCTACACCTATCAATCCACAGATTAAAAGTAATTCCTTCCCTGAGGACCAAGCTCATGACAAACTTGAAGCTGTTCTTGAACTATCCAAGGAAAAGAAAAGGTCTGAAATAATTCTTAACACCTGAAACCAGTATCTTCCCATCATCAAATGTTACTAGGCTTACTCTACTGCTATTATGCCCTGCCTCCCCCATTTCCAAGAACTACTTTTTTGTCTGTTTGTTTGTTTTTGGTGAGGCAATCCGGGTTAAGTGACTTGCCCAGGGTCACACAGCCAGTAAGTGTCAAGTGTCTGAGGTCGGATTTGAACTCAGGTCCTCCTGACTCCAAGGTCAGCGTTTTATCCACTGCGCCATCTAGCTGCCCCAAGAAGTACTTTTTAAATGAGAAGAGTTAGCTGTTTTTATGAAAAACTGGATTTTTCTTTTTAATAGCCCAAAGTTTCTGAAACATAGGGAAGTGATAAAAAAGATCTCATACATAACATGTATCTTTGCCTGTCATTATTCATGCTATAGAGATGGGAAATGCCAATGTGTTTCATGAATCACATACTTTAAATGAAGAAAGAAAAACACACCCTTACCACTTGTTGAGAGGCAGCAAGGCAGAATGGATGGAGAGCTACCCTTGGAATCTGATCTTGCCTCTGCTGTATTCTAGCTATTTGACCTTGGACAAGTCACTTTACCACTTGGTGCATCCAATTTTCAAAGACTCTGAGTTGCAAAAGAGTTGCTGATCTGCATCAGTAGAATGAGTTTACATACAAACAATTCAATATGAAACTGAAATTGGAGGACTAGAACCAGTTCCCTCCCCAAAAACACTTGTTATTGTATTGGGTGCTTTAAAGAGAATTCAAAAGAAGAAAAATTGAACATTATTTTTAAAGGACAAAATCAGAAAATATATATGTGGTATTCTAGGATTTCACAAACAGGATGCCTAGATCCCAAGTGAACTATATGGAGACTAGAGATGAAGGGGCAACATAATGTCCTGTAATTGCTAAATCCACCTTTAAGCACATCAAATGAGACTTTTACTTTCTACACTTGATGATAAAAATAGATGTGCCATACTTTTGCCTGTAGTTCCTTTACTGAGGTCATATTTCTGTGCTTAAGGTGATTCAATTCTTGGCAAAAAGTAATTGCAAAGGAGAGGGTAGCTCTAGGATTGTAAGCCCTCAAGGTAAAAATGTGGGGGGGGGGCACCTGTCTTGAATATCTATATACCTATTGATCTTAAGGTGCAACTCAGACTGGCTACAGACATTTCAGATTCTAGCTCCTCACGGGCAATGAGGTAAATTAGGGCACAGATACAGCATTCTGTGCGTTTAAAGCTGGAAACCGTCAGTGTCATAGAGCCAAGAGGTAAACAGATGCCTGTGCAATTTCACAGAGGCAACGGCCAGATGTTCTTATTCATTCTCCTGTTGTGTGTAGGACAAACATATTGTACAGACTTCACACTGACAGCACACATTACCTCCTGTTCTAATTGAAAAACTGAAGTGAAGGGTAGCATTTTTTCACAGCATTCTATAAGTGGGGATAAGATTTTCAATTTAAAAGCCACCCAGACTTGTGGCCTTAACTCAATGTGGTGCTGGATAAAAGTGGAACTACCACTAGATTCCAGAGGATAAACCCCTTAGCCTTGCCTTTAATCCCTGGGGCACAGGCATGTCGTGGCAACTTTTCCCCTCTTCCCAAGTTTCCTACCTTCTCCAGGCCAAGCTCCCTGATACATCATTCACTTTTCCCACTGTGCCTAACCACTGTTGGGGAGGAGGTAGGGTTTGGGAAGAGGGGTGCGCCTGTCTGATGAGAAATCTGCTGGATTGGTAATCTGAGCTGGACTACTAACCTCCCCTATGATGTCAGATCCCAGGCAGACAAAACAATGACATTTGTTATAAAATCATTTGTAATCACATCACTTTGAAAACCCAAGATCATTTGACTTCAAAGCTTCAAGCAATGAAGACAACTTACGTGGAAGGGCAGAGGAGTCAAATGAAGTTGTGATAGATTAGGTTCATTGGCCACTGGAAACTGCATTAATATGAGCATGGGAAAGGCAAGAGAGCTTTGCAAGACTAGGCATTTTGAAGAAAAAGATGTTGTACTTACTTACATAATAAAAATACAGCCCAATCTGTAGGAAATTTGGTCTAATAGTATAAATCCCAAAGACAGCGAATAAGTTTTAGTGTTTTCTTTTAAGGTCAACTCTTTCTCATTTATTTTAACCCTGATGAAAGGGCATTTTAAAGAGTCCATCTGAAATACAAGCCAGTCAGGGGGTGTAAATGCTGAATTGCTTAGAAGATATGCATGTTTTATCCTCCAGTATGTGGAAACTAATGCAAACTGCTAATGAACAGTGAGATACCTTTAATTTGAGAGACATTTTGTTAATATGTGAAAATCTTAAATAGATTTAATGGTTCTTTCTGCCCTTGATATATCTTGAATTGTCAAAACAAACCAAAGAAGAAAAAGGGTTTCCATTTTTTCCTTCCATTAACTCCCCTACGCTTATACCTCCTTCCCTTGGTTCCCACCTGGGAAAGCCATTCTTCATCCTCTTGTCCACTGTGGTCTGAGGCTAAACTGTCGTAGGATTCATGGCGAGTAATGGGTCCAGGACTTCCAGGAGGAACTACTGTGTAAGGAAAAAAGTACAAGTCATTTAGACCAAAAGGGAAGAACTTGGGTTTGGGTCACCAAAGTCTGACTAAAGTGAAGTTCTTCAAGAGAAAAGATGTAAAAGTATAAGGTCCCAAGACACAACAAAGTCTTGAAACTTTAGTAGATTTTGTGTAAAGTAATCATGATTATCCAGATTATTATGCTGCCTCTAACTTGAAATACTTATTTGTAAAAATAAAACAATGTTTAAACCCATGAATTGGGAAATGATTAAACAAATTATGGTTTACTAAAGTGATAGAATATTACTGGACCATAAAAGAATTAAAATAAAGAATTTACAGGGAAGCCTGAGAAGACAAATATGAACTGAATATGATGCAAACTGAAGTAAGCAGAACCAGGAAAATAATGTACACAATTTCTACAACAGAAAGTAAATGGAAAGAACAACAACAAAATTAAAATATATAATTATAATATATTATGTAAATAATATATAATTAAAATATATAAATAATATGGCATAATTTGGCTGGAAAAAAAGATGGAAACATACATTTCTTCCTTCTTTGCAGAGTCTAAACACTATAGATGTGTAATATTGCCTAAAATATAATACTTAGAGTGCTGATTAGTTTTACTTAATTGAATTTTCCCCCGTCTTTACTATTCTTTGCTATGGTAAAGTATAACTCTTGGTAGAGAAGGGGAAAAATACATTGGGAAATTAAGATGATGAAAAAAATAAATTTAAGTAGATTTCCTTAGTTTTAATATATGTTTTTAGAGATAAAATGTATTTTTTTCCTATCATCACAATTTCCCTCATCTCTCCACAATTGTTTCCTAGGACCAATAATAACCATTAATATTACTCAGTGTTTGACTTAATTTAAGTGTTCTTTTTATTTCCATTGTTTCATCTATTGAATAGACATAATTCTCCTGCTTCTGCTCACTTTTCTTTACTTTGGCTCATATAAGTTTTCTCATGTTTCTTTGACTTCTTCAGATCAGTCACTTATTCAATGATACTCCATTACATTCTAATACCACAATTTGTTCAGCTATTTCCCAATAACAGAGCCCTACTTTCTAGGTGAGGGATTTCTTAGGGGGGCAGGGGAATGAGGTACAGTGTCATAATATCTATATGGGGACACACTGAGCTCAGCCTGAAGCTTTTAAACAAATGAAAGATAAATAAAAAAACCAAGACGACACCTCTTTCCTCCAGGGATCTATCACAGACAATGCCACTGTCACTAACAGGAGTTTCGAACATCTTGCTCAAGATCCTTGGCACATCCAATTCTACAGAAGAACTCCAGGAAGGATCAATTACAAAACCTATCCTTGGATAACAGCAGAACACAAGCCTCAGAAGGATGTATTTCCCAGGCTTCCAGAGCAGAGTGGTTCCAACCACTACTCTACACTGGCCTGCTCATTTAGGCTGGACTTTTGAAATCAATGCCAGATGCGGAGAAGCCTGAAATCAACTTCCTCAATCATTCTGTAGATACAACAAATGGAGTGCAAAACTGGATTTGGGGATTAATTATTTCCTGTCTTTCTGGAGAGGTATGTTCATTTCATTTTGTCTTTTTCCAGTGCTCTTCAGGGACTCCCAATCTGCAGAGTCCCCCTTCCCTGTCAGGTAGGAATCTACTTGTGTCAGTAAGAGATATTCTTCTGTAGGTCACATAACAAACACTCAGTGTTTCTTCTGTCAGAAGAATGGGGAGAGAGAGAAGGTGGGGAAAAAGGATATTCAACTCATCTGCAGTGGGAAGAATTAGAGTGCTGTGAAGAAAACTTTCATATAAACCCAGTCCCACAACATTTTCACAAAATAAGTGTTCTAAAGCATAGATATCAAATATGCCTTTTACAACACACCTGAATCAAATTAAAATATAATTGGAAAATATTGAACTATATAAATAAAAATACAATATAACATAGATAATGTGAATCTATGGTTTTCTAAGCCTAAATGCAGCCCACAGGGATTCTTATATATAGTTTACTGACCCTCTTAAAAAATGTTTATCCTGGTTTACTAGGGAAAATGAACCTGGACTTCTAGCCAAGATCGAATGGAGGTAAAGTAACCAGCTCCCATGTACCTACTTCAGCAAAAACCTGAAATTCAGACCATTTCAAATAATAATCAAGAAGTTCAAAAAGAAACTATAGCAAGTGACTTCATCTACGCCAGGACTGCACAAAAAGTCAACCAGAAGCCTATGGGCAATAGGAAAGGAGACTAATAGCAAAGCCAGCACCAGAGAAGACAAAAAAGTCCAGCTTCCCAGTGAAACCAGCAATGGGTCAGAAATATTCACAGCCTACAAGGCTTCATGTCCAGAGACATCAAAGTCAGAAGGCCTCAGAGAGAGCCCAAGGAAGGTCAGAAAGTCACCAGGGTGGTGACATTGGGAGTCACAAGGATCCAAGTGACATGGAAATACTCAGACAGGGACAGGTATCCAAGGGTCTCTGAGGTACCTAACACTTTGTACAAGATGCAGGAGAAGGCCCTGAAGATCTAGCATGCTGACCTTCAAAGATCTCTTGGTGGAAGTCACAACAGGACAAAACAAAGCAGTGTTGAACACTACCCCTAAAAGCACAACAGGAGACAAAACCTGGACCAGACATAAAGCCACAATTCAAGAACTATAGCTGGAGAGAAGAGTAAAACAAAGAGAACAACCATCAGTATTTTAACAAATCATTATAGATCTAGAGATCCTCCTGAAGAAGAAATTAACTCATGAAAACTATAAGCAGTGACTCAAAACAAAATATGGATTTTCCACATGTACTACTACGTGCCTGACATGTAAGAGGCACTTCGTAAATGTAAGTGTTGACTATTGTTAACTGACCAAGAAATAATAAAGCAAGATTTTTTTTTTAAATAAGGAATGAAAGCTCTGGAGAAAAAAATGGAAGAATAGCTTAGAAGAGAACATAGCAAATTTTAAGCAGACTTCATGAAAACTAGAATACACAAAAGAGAAATCAAGGACTTCATGAGAGAATAGGAACCAAAAAAAAAGCTGAAAAAGGTGAAAAAAAGGAAGAAAATGTAAGTTATGTGATATCAAAAACAATTAACCAGAAAAATAGGTCAAGTAGAAATAATGTATTCTCACTAGACTTCCTAAAACTATGCTTTCTTTTTTAAAAGCCCACTTTCTTATCCAAACTGTCATTCTATTTCATTTTATTGGATTACTTAATCTATTTACGTTTAAAGTAAGGAGAGGTAGGTTTATATTTTCCTCCATTTTTCTCTAATATTATTTTTTCCTCAAAATTGAGATTTCTCACTTCATCCTCAGTAAACACATTATTATGTCTCTTCAGTTATTTTAGTTTAACAGCTATTTTCTTTCTTATTTCCCCTCAAGCGATACCTCTACCCTAACAAATTCTGTTAAACCTTTCCCTAGTTTTGGAGATTTGATTATTAGTACCTTAAACTATAAATGTGCATCTATAACCCTGCAAGATAGGTGCTATTTTTGAACACATTTATAATTGAAGAAACTGAGGCAGAGGTTAAGTGACTTGCCCAAGGTGACACAGCTATTAAGCATCTGAGGTTGGATTTGAACTCATGTCTTCCTGACTCCAAGCCTAGCACTCTATCCACTGTGCCATTTTGCTCTAACTCAGCAAGGTTAAATACTTGTTTCAGATTACTTGGCTTGTAAACATTGGAGCCAGATTAGAACATCGGTCTTTCAATTAGTAATCCCATGCATCTTCTGCTAAAGAAATACCTCCTTTTCTTGATAAAAACCCTGACCACTGAAACTATTCTAACTCCTTTTTTCCTCTCTTTTTTAATCCCTCTCTTTGCCTCTTCACACAGTCTCCTGTAGATTCACTTCTTCTTGAAGAAGGGGTTATTTTTCCTTTCACTGCGAGACTTTCACATAATTAGAGCACAGCACATATTTCCCTTTGTCATATTCCTGTACCGATTAATTTTTTTTCCTCTTTCTTTTTGTCTTTAAAAAAGGCTATTTGTTAAATGGGATAACTCCCTGGGAGGCACAGGGGGAAGAACACACTGGGGGAAACTATAATGACATTAAAAAAAAACCCAAAATGCATCAATAAAAACTTTTCTTTTTAGTCCAGATGACATATTTTAAGATATTATAAATGAAAACTTTCCAGATCTACAAAAACAAGAGGGCAAAGTTAAGACAGAAAGAACTCACTGATCTACTCCTGAAGGAACACCACAAAGAAAAAGTCATAGAATGCCACAGTCAGATCCAGAGTTGCCATATTAACTATGAAGAAAGCAGTTCAAATACCAAGGAACCACAGTCAGGATCACACAAGACCTATCAACTTCTCCTATAAATATATAGAGATCTGAGAATACAGTGTTCAAAAAGGCAAAAGATATAGGCTTACAACCATGAATAATTTACACTAAAAATCTTAGTATAATCCTATAGGGGAAAAAAAGTGAACTTTTAATAGAAGAGAGAATTGTCAAGCACTACTGATGAAAAGATGAGTAGGAACTTTGAAATATAAACACTAAAGTCCAGAGAAATTTAGAAGGGTAAATTTATTTGAACAATTGGAAGAAGCCAAAGACTGATTTAGAATTAACTTTCTAATGGGGGGAAGAAACAAGTGTCCCATCAGAATTTTAATGTCTTCAAACATGGATGCCATGGGGCTGGACTAGGTCTGTTCTTAGGGTTTGAAGAGAGAAAAAAGAAGGGAGGGCAAAAGGAGGAATACAATGATATATATATATAGAAAGGAGGAAGAAAGGGACGGGATTTGCTATTTCTCATAATTAGAGTACATGAAAAGAAGAATATACAAACATGGAGAAAAGAGTGGGGGACAGGAATCAGACAAATCTCACTTTTACCTGAAATGGATAAAAGATGAGTAAACATACACATACAGTTTGGTGGAGAAATATATTAGATGAAATAGAAAAACACGCAGGTGGGG